GGTTGAAGTGCCAATCAAACAAAATCTACACAAATGATAGGAAAATGTATTGCTGACAGTTTTCTGCCCTCTAGGAATATTTACTGCCACAACCTTGCAAGTCTTTATCTCTGCATGTATAATTACTCACTCTATATCAATGAGCTAATAGAGATACAGTGAGTGTGTCCTAGTACCATTAAAATATTTGCACAACCTTTTCTAAACAGCTACAGACTTGCTATTATGCCTACAGCCTGGCATTTCATATGGCAACTCAACAACAGCAAAGAAATGTCCTGTGATCACACTCTCTGTCCTATCTAGTTCTCTCTCTATTTTTAGGTTTTCCCCCAAATCTATTCCCAGCAAAGCTTAAAATACCGTATTCAGGGCAGTTATAACTTGCAGTTAATTGATTTTGGAATAACTTAATTTTTCTTCTGCTAAAAATCAAAACAAAAGAAACACTAAAAAAAGAATGATTTCAGTGGGGGCGACTTGCAGAGCACAGTGCTGCTAGGTCTAATGACTGTATTGCAAGTCTTGCTCTGTTTCGTGTTTTATTTAAAATCCCAACTTTTGGAGACAAGTGATTATACGAGAATCTGTGTTTTCATTTTAAAAACAGGTATAGTCCTATCCCTCACGGTTGCAAAGGAAAGCCTGAAAAAGTGACCCAAGTGCACCCTAAGAGCTCAGAAAACAGAAGACAAACAACAAGGACCCAACGTAGATTATTTTTTAAACAGTCTCATGAGTTTTACGCCAATCTCATTAGTTTTGGCAACCTTGACTTGTGAGTTTAAAATTTTTGGGGATGGAAATACTGATAGCGCATTACCATTCAACTTGAATAAGGATGGCAGAATATGTAATATTGTTATATCTTTTTTTCTTTTCTCCCATATTTCGTTCAGAGGATCATTTCTATTAAAACAAGATTGTAGTCAAATTCACCCCAATTTAATGCCGAAGGCATGTAAGCTGCCCCTCCCTACGACATCAGGTCTCCTGCATCCAGATGTAAATTCACACCAAAGCTGGTTGGTTTACAAAAGGGTAGAATTTGGCCCAATGGTTTTCAAATTTTTCTATGAGGTGTCAGCCCATGTTTGATGAGTGATAAAAGAAGACATAAAGCTACCCCCTAAGAGACAGATAAGTGCTAGCTGTCTGATCTTTAACTGGTTAAAATGAGGCTCTGTAAATCCTAAAACTCCTGGACTGGACTACAGCTGGTTACAAGCATTGCTGCTAGAGGGCTAGAGTTGTGTGAATAATTTAGTTGTCAAAATTACCCGTTTCAGCTTCAAGTGTGTTTACTGACTACGTAGGAGATCAAAGTCTCAATACAACGCAACGTTGTAGCAACAGATAAGTACTGAATTTTACCCTGAGATATCGCTAGACTACTGTACCCCTTTCAGGAGTCTGATTTGTCTTGCATACCCCCACGTTTCACCTCACTTAAAAACTATGTGCTTACAAAATCAGACATAAAATACAAAAGTGTTGCAGCACACTAGTACTGAAACATTGCTTATTTTCTCATTTTTACCATATAATTATAAAATAAATCAATTGGAATGTAAATATTGTACTTACATTTCAGTGTGTGGCATATAGAGGTGTATAAACAAGTCATTGTGTGAAATTTTAGTTAATGTTGACTTCCCTAGTGTTTTTTATGTAGCCTGTTGTTAAACTAGGCGAATATCTAGAGGAGTTGATGTACCCCCAGGAAGACCTCTGCATACCCCCAGGGGTACACGGACCCCTGGTTGAGAACCACTGCCCTAGATTCTCAGAAGTGTCATGTGGTAAATATATCTTTATTGCTATAATTACTTTAACAGCTGAACTGTAAACACAGCTATACATATGTTTTTAAGGTAATAAAAATGTCATTCAAGTTACTTTGAGTTGCACAAAACACGAATCGAAGCACTATACTGACCACCTCTCTCCTTTTTTTACAAGAAGGAACAAATTTAGCCATGCTATAAGTGGGTGCATCTCCCACTGAGGCCAATGAGAGCTATGTCCAGTAATAGCAGGGGGTCAATTTTGCATGAAGTCTCCATGAGGCCTGTAATTTTTCATACTTAGAACCACCTTCAGAGTACCCGGGGGCACAAGTCACCATGCTGTAGTATGTGAAAGGTGGCATGTGCTTCTGCAGAAATAAGCATAACATTTTAAGTGAGGGTAATTACCCATTGGAACAATTTACCAAGGGACGTGGTGGATTCTCCGTCACCTGAAGTCTTTAAATCAAGACTGGATGCCTCTCTAAAAGAGATGCTGTAGCTCAAACAGAAGTTATAGGCTGGATGCAGAGATTACTGGGTGAGACTCTCAGTCTTACTGCTTATAGCATAGGCCTAAGATTTTCATAAAGATCCTTTCTGGCCTTAAAAGCAATGAAAATCTGGTCCCTTGGAATTCAGGGTAGCATCAGCAGGTTGATAGGGGGATAATGATCTTCATAGCTTCTTGATTTTCATTCCTGGGGTCAGATTCTGATGCCCTGACTTATGAGGATTAGAACCTTACTCACTGAAGTCAGTGGGACTCTGTTTGAGGAGTAAGGTGATACCCAGCATGAGTAAGGGTATCAGAATCTGTCCCATAGGCTTGGACATCACATCTGCTCTACATCAGCTGCCTTGTGTCCATTAGCAATCATTCTTTGTAGCATTTGTTGCTATTTACTTCAGGGTCTTTGTCGGACCCTGTTAATACCAAGGCATTCTGCTCTCTCAAGAACTCCTCTGTTAGATATCCCTATTCCATTCTTTTCAGAGTCATATGTGGGTCTCATCAGCAGAGCAGTGGAATGTCTCCAAAGTGCAGTAAGCTACGTGACTAATAGTTGTCATGTTCATGGTTCTTTCGTTTGTTTCGAACATGTGGTTCTTTCTTCTGCTCCCCAACCTGAACGTGTGTGGGTTTCTTAAAAAAACCAATGTATGAGATGTACCCTGGTCTAAGTGTTTACATGAGCAAAAGCAAGGTCAAAGATGTGGGCCTTGAGATTGGAATGGAAGGTAGTGAGGTTTGTGGTCTCCTCTTCACTGCCAGCTTAACCTTTGAAATGTTCTATATTTATTTACTCTCATTTCTGCTCTGCAGGACCTTGGTTACGTAGCACCTAACAAGAGCTGGGTGAATTTTTTTTTGGCAGAAACTTATTTTTCAGCAGGTTTTGGGCTATCACAACACTCTGGAATTCTGTAGGAATTATTTTTAATGGGGCTAAAATATTTGTTTTGCTGTACATTTAACACCTCCCATTGATCTCTTTCCAGTGTAATTTTGGTGCAACTCAAAGAGAGAGAGAGAGAAGAAAAGGGGAATAACATGGGTATTGTATGTGAATGGTGGCTAGATGCCACCATTTTATTGCCGCTTTGGAGGAACGCAAACAATGGTGACCATTACGACCCATCAGAAAGGAAAGCTCTATATTCACTTCAGGTTTCCATTCAAGAGTACAGCAATTTATTTTATGAGCACAGTGACACTTGTTCCTTAATACCTGTAAGTTGGGATCCACAATCAATCTGTACTCTTAGCATAAAAACTCAAGCAATCTGCATACAGAAACAGGGGCATATGTAGTTGGGGCACTAGTCTAGGACTTGGGAGACCTAGGGTCAATTTCCTGCTCCACCACAGACTTCCTGTGTAGCCTTGGGCAATTTAGTCTCTTTTTGCCTCAGTTTACCATCTGTAAAATTGAGATAATGGCACTTCCTTAGCTCATAGTGAGGATAAGTACATTAAAGATTGTGAAGTGCTTAGATACTAGGGTAATGGGGGGTTATGTAAACACCATAGATAGGTTGATGAAGAAGGCTCTTAACATGAAGTCTTCTTGCATTTGTTTGGAGATCATGCTGTTGTTACTGTAGATACTAGAAATCTTGACTGTACAAATGCCACAGATGGAAACCAACCTCCACAATTTACAATAGCAAAAGGAAAGCACTGGTGAGAAAGGCCAAGGAAATTTGCATATATAAATACATGTATGCAAATAGAACTTGATTGCACTTGCTATAAGGGATCATGCAATACATTTCTCAATAGTGAGGACATTGCTTATGACTCATTCTTTCTGCATTAAACCAGGATAAAACTTTCATAATGAATGAAGGTATCATACCCAGCCCAGAACTATCCTAGATCCGCATATAATATTCAGTGGAAGAGGGTAACACAGAAAGGCACACTCCGAACCAATTTACAGCAGTGCTTAACGATCATATTGTATCTGATACAAAACCGGCTTGGCTCTGCCAGCTCTGAGGAGCTTACAAATGACATTATAAATGTTACACTCTGATAGCAGCCGCAGCAGGCTCATATCAGACACACCTCATCTATATGCTTGTAAAATCCCTAAGCATTTCTTTTTCCACTTGAGAGATACACAGCCTATCAAGGTCAGTTGCAGTCTGGCTGATAGAAGCCCTACGCAGACATCCCATTATCGTACAGCTGAGTCCTGCAGGGGTGGGTTTCACTGAACAATGCTGTGTGCCTGTAAAAATAAAGACACGGAACCTAAATCTCATTGATACAAAGGCTCCTTTCCAGTGCCACAGTGGGATAGGCGGGTCACTGCTGCTCGCGCTCTAAGAGTATGTCTACACAGCAAAGAAAAACCCGACTCGGGCTCACAGGGCTCGAGCCACGGGGCTGTTTCATTGCTGTGTGGCTTTCTGGGTTCAGGCTGGAGTCCAGGCTCTAGGACCCTGTGGGGTGGGAGAGTCCCAGAGCTCAGGTTCTAGCCCAAGCCCAGAAGTCTACACAGCAATGAAACAGCCCCGCAACCCAAGCCTGAGTCGGCTGTCATGGGCCAGCCACAGGTTTTCCTTTGCTGTGTAGACATACCCTTAGTGTAGGCCCTCTCTCTCTTATGGCCTGACTGGTGGCACTGCAAGTCTCTAGGACTCTATGAACACAGAACAAAGCCGAACACAAAATAACTCACTCGGTGACACCACCACATCAAATCAGTCAGTGTTTCAACTTACCTTGCTGGTGTATTATCCATTTGCGAACTGAACGTAAACATGGCAGATGAGGCAAGCTTAACGATAGATACTAGAGCTCAGAAGCAATTGGTGGGCCCCTAAACCACAGTAGTTCTTTTCCCTGGCAGATCAGAAGAATTTTCATAAGCAGAGACAAGTCCTTTTGCCCAGCGGGTACCAGGGCAGTTCTGTTGCATCACCACCAATCGGATTGGAGGCTGGGAATCCGTAGGAATCTCAGGAGCATATTCCTTACTGGGATCTATCCCCCTACAGTCATATAGCACGCAAGAAATCAGAAACACCAAAAGCAGAATAACATAACTAGCTACCAGGATGATCAAGTTCAAGGTTACAGGGTCAATTTCCAAGTAAAAATCCATTTCATTCCCTACTCCTAACCGAGAACTCAGAGAATGAAGCTTCATACACACTAGTGAGCAACGGCTCCCTGATCAGAATAAATGTATTGGCTTTGCGGTAAAAATACATTAAGCCTCAGCACTCCTGCAGCAATGGATTTTCCTGAACTGGATGATTAAAGCTGCTCAGTTTAATAACTTAAGCTCCTTCTTTTAATACCATGTTGGCTACATTGGCAGAAGCTAAATTTGATTCCTTTACCAACAGCAGACTATCCATCTTGCTATTAGAACCCATCTCTCTTTTTTCTTGGCAGGCCTGCATCAAACAATGCATTTGTTTTGTTTACTCAGCTCCAGAGATGGCGTCATGCACCAAGGCGAGTTATTGTGACTATCAGAAGGTTTTACTGAAGGCCACAGATAACAAAACATTGGCTGTACAAAACTGTAAATAAGTGAGGAGCTGAATGAGGGGGGGAAAGATGAAACAAGGCGGGACTTGGACAGAGGATTATTCCAGGTGGGATTTATAGTATTTCACACATGACTCTATAAAAAGACATTTTTTCACTGGGAAATGTTCTTAAAATGTAATGAGCTTGATTCTCATTTATGCGACGGGCCCTTTGTACAGCCCTGGTAGTATAAAGGGGCCTTAACGTGTAAATTATTATTTATTTGTATTGGTAGTGCCTAGGGGCGCCCAGACATGGACCACGACCGCATCGTGCAAGGTACTGTACAAACATAGAAGACAAAGGCAGTCCCTGCCCCAAAGAGTTTACAATCTAAATAGAAGACAATAGGAAGATACAGACAGGGGAAGCACAAGGATACAACGAGACAGTATTGGTCAACATGAGAGGCAATGGTCTTATCACACCAGTTGCCTTACCCTTGTCTAGTTTTTTGTAGGGCATCTCAGCAAAGGAGAGATTTAAGAAGGGAGGAGGAAGTTATGGCTCTTGGCATTGCCAGAACTATGGAAAAGGGCTTTAATGTAAATGGGAATCAGGCCCCTGGTGTTTAAGTTGTGAAGAGGAAATATATAATCCGGCCATACCCCTGAAACGTACTTCATTTCAAAAGATGCCACTCATTTGAGACCCGCCTCATCTGTTTTCCACATTAATCCAGGGTCCTTTTGTTGCTTTAACTGTCACAAAATTATTTGCACCAAAAAGTAAAGAACCATGAACTTGAAGTTGCAGAACGAGTCGTTTCCTCTCAAGGAAGGAATCCCACAGCAATTTAAAACGTTGGCATAAACCACGTTTGTGCAATCTTCATTTTGGATCTGTCACAGGCTATGTGCAGACATCAAGTATTGCAGACACCATTTGTGTTTTATTAGAGATCGAGGCTGAGATTTTTTCCATGTCTGGCTAAGCCATTTGGGCACCCAATTCCCATGAAAAGTAAGGGAAATTGGGAGTCAGATTCAAAGTGTCACTTCTGCTCCTGAGTCACACTGAGGCTTGGCTACACACAGAAATAGCGATGTCCGTTTTATTTCACACCTTTTATATCTCGGTGCAAGTGTGTGTGCGGACACTCGTGTTTCGAACTGAAGGGGGTCATTTTGATTTGGTTTAAGTTGGGAAGGCATGGACGAGGTGATCCTGAACATCTCAGCCTGAGCTTTGAAGTTAGCAGTACTGTTCCTGCACAAGAAAGTTTCTGGAATTCTTAGTTGCTTCTTGGTGCCAAATAGCTTTGGCAAAAATGAGAGAAGTTGGATGAGAAATATTTCAGCACTGACAGTTCACTTTCAGATGTCTTTCTAAAAGCTGCTATTCAATTCTTAAAATGTTTTCTAGTTTAGATGTGGGGCTTTTCATGGGAACTTTTCAAAAGGCTAAAATCCATTACTAGCCTCGTGGCAAAATGTTAGGTCTCACAGCCTTGATGAGTGTCTTATGTGGAACAAAACATATCAATTAATGCTGACTCTCCTTGCTGTAAATTAGACCCTATTGATCTTTCAAGGAGTATTTTGAAAATCTAATATACTTTAGTTCTAGGGCAGAATTTTCAAAAACACCACAGTGACTTAGGAACCTAAGTCCCATTGGTTTTCAGTGAAATTAATGCTCCCAAGTGCCTAAATCACTGTTGAAAATGGGACTTAGGCATTTTTCAAAATTTTGCCACTAATCTACGTCCATATTTCTCAAGGCTCAGGATTTTCTTCAACAATTTAGAAGTGCAGAAACATTGGTTTCTGTTCCTTTTCTTGTTTGATGAAATAACACAGGGTTATGAATGAGCCCCTAAATAGAATGCATTGCAGTTGTTTTCAAGGGCTGTCAGTACATACTATATAGTCTTAAACAAACCCTAGTTAATCACTAATCAAATGATCTATATCTTGGCTTCACTGACAGATTGGAAGGGCTGTTGATACTGTTGCTTATCAGAGAGAAATTGCTACCAAGTACTGCTTTATTTCCGTACACGACGCTTGAAATATATCATGTGCTGCCCAGCTGAAATGCTTTTTTAGATAGTTTACTCTGAGGCCACCTAGTGGCAAGAGATGAGGCTGTAGGGCACCTGGTGAATTTCCTCTGTGCACTATCTTTGGGCTGGTCCACACTAAGCCCCCAGTTCGAACTAAGATACATAACTTCAGCTATGTGAATAACGTAGCTGAAGTCGAAGTATCTCAGTTCGAACTTAACGGTACTTACAGTGGGTCCACACGCGGCAGGCAGGCTCCCCCGTCGACTTCGCCTACTCCTCTCGCAAAGCACGATTACCGGTGTCGATGGCGAGCACTTCCGGGATCGATTTATCATGTGTAGACAAGACGCGATAAATCGATCCCAGAAGATCGATTGCTTGCCGCCGAACCAGTGGGTAAGTATAGACGTACCCTTTGTGGGACAAATTTTCATCTGTGTTCTCAAATTTTGCCTGTGCAAATGTACCCAGCTCCCCTGGCTTGAGTATGAAAACATCCGTTCGCATGCGCTGAGAAGCAGCATGTGTATTTTTGTGCAAGAAATCAGAGGCCAAGTATGAAGGTTTCCAGTTCTTCCTATACAAGCTTAGTTCTTGTTCTCTTGGTTATTCCTCATATTAAAATGCTATAGACAGTAACATTAACGAAGCTAGTAGGGTTCTACAGATATTTAATACAGTCTATAGAAATTAACTGTATGGAGAGCATAGTCTAATGGATAGAGGGCACAGAGTGGGATTGGGTTCTATTCTGGGTCCTGCTAATAACCTGCTCTGTGACCTGAATTAAATCACTTGCCTCTTTGTTCCTTCATTTCTTCTCCTACTCTTTGTCCCTCTAGGCTGCAAGCTCTTTGGGGGCAGGGCCTGTCTTTTACTATGTGTCTATATAGTGACTAACACAATAGGGCCATAATCCCAACTCTAGGCACCACTTGAATAAAACAATAACCCATCTAATAGCAAATGAGATCTTCCCTATAATTTCTTTTTAAATCCATTATATCAGATTCCATAGCAGGGATATAATTCCACACGTGGGTTAAAAAACAAAACCTTGAGAAAGTTTATAACAAGACTTTCCTGAAAGGGATGATTGTATTATGGGCAGTTATATGGGCCAGTAAATTAGTTTGATCACCAGTGATCTGGATCCAGTGTGTAAAAACCTTCACAATGGGAGGCACAGAAGTAACAGCCTGTGGGCTGGTATAGCAACCATGGAGGGACTTCTTAACTGGCTTGTCTAACCTGCAGATTGATTCCATTGCACTGAAATCTTGCATGGTTCCCTCACAGAAATCCCATTGATTCCAACTGTGTGTGAGGCGATGGGAGTGAATTTCACCCAGAGGAAACCTGCAAGATCACAACTGCCGTGACTTGCATCTAACTTCGGCAGGACTCACCAAAAGGGAATTATTGGACAAAGATTAAAAAAGACTAGCTAGGACTAAAACTGAAAATGTAAGGAGGGTAAGGATGGAGCCTGGAGTTTTAGATCAGAGTTGATTAGGTAGGAAATGACCACAAGAATAATAATCACCTTAAAATGAAAGCAATGGGTACTGGTTATGGAGGAAGAAGTGACAGCTAAGAATGGTTCATTCATTTGGAGTAGCTGCAATCCATACTTCGAAGAAAGAGGAAGCAATTGCTGCAGTGAAATCAGTATTGAAGAAAAAATGATACTAATGAGGAAGAAAGGCGAGAAAGCTGGAATGTCATTGCCAATGTCCTGATTGTGACCAGCACTCATGTGAGGACACAAGGGAAGGAGAGAGAGCTCTGGGATCCTTCCCCCCAGCATAGGAGCTTGCCACAATAATGGCTCTTATTCTTTCTTGAGCACAAGAATTGCTCCCCGCATAGCTGCTGGAACTAACGTGCTGGAGGGGCTGCTGCACCCCTGGCTTGAAGTGGTTTCCATTGTATACAGAGTTTACAGTTTGATTCAATGGCTCTCAGCACCCCTACTACACAAATTGTTCCGGTGCCCCTGGCTCCATGCTAGCCCCATCTGGGTACTAGTCTGTTTAAAAGGCACCTGGTGGCCATGTCCCAACCCTCCCACATCTACTGCAGCCAACTAAAGCTGCATTCCCCACAAGTTCAGTTATCATTTGCAGCGTGGTAGCATCTCAGAGCCTCCGTCACGGACAAGGGGCCTGATGTCAGGACCTCGGTCTCAAATCCTGGTCATCCACACCCACTGGGTTCTTGGGAAGTAGCCTTGGCCATCACACAACACCAACTCATCCAATTACCAGAGAATTCACAGACTTGGGTGGGCCAGCTTCCAGGGTTCTGTGATCTGCTTCCTGATTGGCTACTTGCTCTTGGCCCTGATTGGCTGGTGACCATATATAAATTTCCTGCTTCTGTTCTGGCCTTGTCTGAGCAACAAGCCATTGCCTGCTAGTTGCCACTCAGACCCAGCTTGACCCCACCAGCTGCCTTGCTATACACTCCCTTTGGATTGGATCTCCTGGTTATTAAACCTCTTGTGTGAACTCTGACCACTGATATGGATCTGTCTTCAACCTGCATGC